TCTGTATGTAAACCAGGTCGCGGACTTTGTACGGAAGTCAACACATGTGGCCGTAATACCTTGGAATGACACATCAGAATGTATGTCATAAGTGCGTCGAAGCTCGTTTACTATTTTGTAATCCCGTGTTCTGATTGAGAGTAAAATGACATATTATTATATTATAATGACTATATAATATGCTGGTGACATTAAACATACAGTCGTCATTCGTCGTTGATTGTCTAATCCGGAAGTTAAGGGTAGCAAAGGTTATTCAAGGAATGATAAAGAGGGTTTGAAATATCCAGAGACGGGGTCCGTTTTAGAATTGGTCTGGATGGTCATACTCTTTGACTTGGTTGATGCATGTCATTGCCGTAAATAGATGCCCATGATGTCATTCACTTGATTGTCTGGTCCAGGCGCGATTATTGCAGACTGCCCTCCTACAACTTGAATGATGCTGAATGATACTTTAACCAAGAAGCAGACCAATTCCAGAGACAGGTTTCTCCAGTATATTATGTTTACACAATTAAAAACACTGGAAACTTGAAACATTGTATACTTTTGTATGTTCAGTCATTTTCACTGAAGAAGGTTTCGCTCAAAATGATAAATGGGATTTCAGTTAAAGAAAACACTTGTAAAAATATATAATCTTTACCCACCTCCATCGTGCCCTCTCTTGGCATGCAATGGTATGTTCCTTAACGTGATTGCGTGTGTTTTGCTCCATAAAGACCAGAAACAGTTACGGATACCCTGCTATTCTTGTAGTTAACCTGACCCGCGAAGCCTTTCAACTTCCAAAGTCGAGAAAGCGATCCATATTCTTGCCCACAGCGGGGTTCAATGGCGGCGAAAAGCGAAAACAAACACCTCGAGAAAAACGGTACCAAACTAACAAAAAGAAGTTTCTTTATTGCAATACGAGGCCCAGTTTAGGGACCCTTCTTTTTATCCTCCTTGTGAAATCAATAACAGGCAGTCAATTGCTCGTGGTAACCCGAAACTTTATATCGGAGGTGCTCGAATGTCTGTGGACACTGACTAATGCCTCAGTTCCACAATTCGTCTTTAATGAACTATCAGCTGACTTGTGAAATTAACACGACTAGATTTCAAGTCCCCTCTGATCTTTGAAGAGAGAGAGCAAAAGGCTAGCTCTCCTTCCTAACGGTATCGATTGGGGTAAACGGCTACGTCCTCCCTCGTGGCCAAAAGAACGGCGTGGCGGCGGCCGCGCTACTGTTTCTCAACACTGCAAGAACATTTTACAATTGGTATTCAATTTTGTCATTACTGAAATTGAGAGCCGGGTTTGGGGTCGGCGAGGGAACGGTTTTAGGCTGTGGATTTATAGACGCGTTGTTTTTTTCTTTTCATTGCTTCTGGCAGCGTGGTGCTGCTGCAGGTATCCTAGGTGAGAGTTTACCATTTCCTCGCGGCAACAAGGCCCGTACATCAGTCATATATACGTGTAGATCATACCAACGGAGGTCTTCATAATGATTACTGAAACAGGTGGAGCTTGTCAGTTTTTCCACAACAGGAGGGAATTCGGCTTTAAATTGAATTTCTACACACAACTTTACAGTTTGATTTACCCACATGAAACTCAGGCCCTGTCTTGAGCGGTCCTAACTGTCGGAAATAGAAACAGAAGATCAAGTTTTCAGTTGCACAAAAAATAAATTAGAATTGATTTTACAACAAGATGCCAAATCCGTTTCGTTTCTAACAGTTTATCATGGGTCGGTTTTACAGACGATTAGCTCTCAGACCGCGCTGTATTGATTCCCTCTGGAAAATGTTCCTTTAATATATATTCATAAATACAGTCTACTTTATTTGAATATGTTGTTCATTATGTATTGTGAAGACATTCTTCCTTTTTCTCTTTAAGAAAAATACACGTATAATTGCAAACATGAAGAAATAATCGCAATACATTCAGGGGGCTCCCGCTCAGTATGACGGAACGTTACCGGACCATATATCGCCACTGACATCGTTGTTAAACGTCCAGGACGGTGCTACTTTTGTCCCGACCCTCAAACAAGCCCGCAGAGACTTGCCTTATTGGGAAGTTTGTTGTTATTCAACTCTCAACTCAGAACAAGTACAAACATTTTGAAAAAGAGGGATTTCGAAAAACTTAATATCCAGCGCAAAAAGATGTGCACTCTATACTGAATGCTGAATGCATACACGATACGTTTTGTAGTTACAGACAACGGTAATGATAATTTTAATATATTTGCCAATATCTAACTACTACTTCACAGGTGGAGGAGGGAGAGGGGGTGGTAGATTATAATCACTCGAAAATTGTGGACTTGATTAATGTTTCTTTGAGCAATGTGTAAACCATGTTCTGATATTCCAACATTCTCATGCAAACAAAAAGATTCTTTGTTCATTATCGGATTCAAATTTATTCCATGCATGGTGATCAGCGCGTAACAAATAGTGTTGGGTCCTGTGATATATGAAAATGAGTTTTGCCTATTTTCTCTGAAACACACATCGAGATGGACGCACCTGCTGATCATATATAACCCCAAGCCATACACAACCCCGTCTCAGGGAGATTCGTCAACAGAACAGGATTACAGGGGTCGTTATCTCTACCATCAACCGCTGGTTTATCTCACCCAGACTTCGTTCATTACAATCACTGTAATATTGCTGATTGCAGTATAACACTCTCTCGCCCACACATCAGTGTTAACTGTTGTAGAGACAAGAGATGGGTCTTCCTGTATGTAACCTGTATATCGATCTTCTTTCTTAATTAGCGGTGATTGTGTTTCATAAAGGCTCGACATATGTGGCAGTGTAATTGTAATCGTGACATAAATCGTGTTGAAATATATTATAAATATTTGAGATTATGCTACTTTGTTCAACAAGCTATCTGACTGTGACATGGTCAATATATGTTATTGTCCCTATATATACTTCTTATCATTTGACAGTTTAGACTCACTACTGTAAATATAGCCACTTACTTCAGGCAACTGTTCTAAACTAAATTTTGCAAAATATTCCATACTCTTTAAAGGTACTGTTTACACATGAACTGATGTATTGTAAAACCATTCATAACGTTGAAAAAATTATTGTCATGAGTTCAGTAAATGATGAAAATCAGTGAAAATTGGCGAATTCTTAACAAAACTTTACACCACAACGCAGCTGTTCACATGCACGATAGCTGCACATGCTTTTCAGCAATTCGATGCATGATCCTCATGCAATTAATCTGCATACAGTTTGCAGTTGGTTCCCTCAAGTTAGTTGAGAAATCAATCTTCGATGTAACCATATACACATATATAACATATAGTGAGTTTTTAAGTAAGTCTAAACTTTTAAAGAGAAGTATATAAGAAGGGATATTATAGACAAATATAGGGGATTCATTAGTGTGTGTTATTAGGAAGATTTAAGCAAGCATATTAAATTTTCGAACGTCCAAGAGGGCTAACTGGAGAAATATAATTCCCAAGCTGGCTCCAGACGGAATAACTCCACAGTAGGCAACATCTGGGTAGTCTCCAGAAACGTGTTTCCAACAGGAAACGAACATTGTTTGTAGCTTTTGTAGACGATAGAACAGTGTTCGAATCTGTAAACCGTCGTGACCTTTGGAAGGTTTGACATCAGCTGGTCTTCATGGTAAAGTTATAAGAATCATTAAGAACACTGTATGCAACTGTAAAGACTTGTGTGTAATAATACCTACAATTATTACTTCCACTGTCCACATCATGTAAAGGGGGGCTGCATGTAAAGTCATTTGGGGTTCTTATTTTTATTTATTCGTAGCCAGTTATCTACAAATAAATGATTGAACATTCAGAGTTCAGCTCTTTCCCGATGTATGAAAGAGTTTGTTGTTTGTTGTTTGTGGATGATGTGAAGCTGTTCTCTGGTGCAGTGACCGGTTTACAGAAACAATTAAACATTTAGGAAACAAATGCTGATAGACTGTTAATCTAAGACCAGTATGTCGTTTTTAGACTGGTAATCGTTTGTCTAGTGAAGAGGTTTGGTTCTGCAAGAACAAAGACCTTACAACGCTTAACTACTACAGATACATGAGGCTGATTATTTTAGTATACAGGTAAACTGGCTAACTGCATCAGTGATTTATTCAGCAGGGGTAAGAGGGCAGGTATAGAAATATTCACAAGTCTGAATGAAATTGACACGGTAGACATTTCTGTTTTCTTTTAGATATTTGATACTCACATACAACCAATGCTGCTATATTATTCTGAGATGTGGTGTGTAAACAGATATAAAGAAATTGAAATTGGTAAGCTTTTTGCAAGTATAAGATCTTTAAATGTCGGGCGCCAGATTCCCAATGTAATAGTGTACGGTAAGAGTGGACGCCATCCTCGGGACATATGCGCATGTCGTACATTCTGAAATACCGGTTAGCTTACGGAGATGCCTGCTGATCGCATGACATGCTGATGTTCTTAGACAATTGTAGCTACAATAACTGGGTGTCCAATGTAAGATCTTTTATGTTTTCACATGGTCTTGGGGTTGTGTGGCTGTCTCAAAGTGTAGGAGACAAAGAGTTATTTCTTAATCAATTTAGAATTGTTGCTGTGAAGATGGGAGAGCCCAATGTGTCATAGTTCAAGATAAAACATATACAGAAACTGTAAACGTCTACTAGAACCTGAAACATAGCATTGTTTCAACATGGATAAAACGTATCGAAGTATTCTTTTGAAGGACTGCTAAGATTGAAAATATACGAAGGAAGATGTCTTAGTATTGATTTGTACCAACCTATGAATTCAGTTATAGACGACGAATTTCATTTTGATATAATGTGCACTTCATATAGTGATATAAGGTCATGTTATCGTCCCAGTGTCCACCGCAACTACCCAAACATGTACAATTTTATATTGATTTATGATTTATTTATTCATATATCGCATATTTCGTATTCAGTCTTTTACCAAGTTTGTTCTATTTTGCAGCGATCGGACTCGATTATATCGGGACCACACTTGTGCCTCTTCCGAAATTCATCCCAACAAAAAGTAATTTTACGTTTAAAGCTGGAGAACTGGCCCGGCTGGAGTGTGCGGTAGATAACCTCAGCACCAAAAAGGTAAGTGACGACATGTGTAGACATTGCTAATTACAATATTTACACACATCCTGCAGTCAATGCTATAGTGTTCCAACACACACACACACACACACACACACACACACACACACACACACACATTTTTTTAACACAGATCTTACAGACGATGTGCTTCATTTCTTGAGTCCCTTTTTAAGTCAACATTATTAAATTCGTTTGACATATAGACTTTACTGCAGAATTTGCGAACATCTTAATATCCTATAAATGCACAATGTCATTTGGAAAGTGGTCACATGTAACACCTGTTATATTTGGGATTACACTCTCAGTAAAGTACAGCTTCTTCCAGTATTTTTGTTGGGTTGAGTCTCATCCTGGATTCGAACCCCCACTCTCAGAGTCCGGCACCTATTCGCCAGCGCACAAGGTCAGCCATCTAACCCACTAAGCCAAAACGACTTCCCCCTTACTGCAAAATTGTAATCCAAAATGTAACATGTGTTACATCGTTAAGCCCTTCATATCTGTCATACCAGAAATTGGTTCGTGGCAATGAATGTTGTCACAGGTGTTTTCATCAGAAACCTCCAACTTCTTCACCGCAACGAAGCCTACATTACTTTTTTGTGATCATTATCAACGTAACATAAATCTAAAAACAAAATTAATGTAAGAATATCTATCAACATATATCTCTAATCTATCTTCACAAAAAGTAAAAATCGTTTTCACTTTCCTTTGTCTTAATTGGCAGTTGTGCAAGACTGACATGCAACCAAACGCTCCTGATACGCAATAACGATGTTGTTATACAATAACTGTAATCATCCTCAGTGTCTGTTCAAGGCAACAACTTGCCAAATGTAGATTGGATTCTATCAATACTGTTTGAATGTGTTGCGCATGACATTGTTGCCATGGCTACGCATAACCCATCAGTTTATCATATCCATGTTAAAAACATCCATAAATATTTCTCAAGGAAACATAATCTCTCAAATCTACATATGCATGCACTGAAATAGAATGTGGCGTTTTTATGTGTATAACCGTAATTTTCAAATGAAATTTGAAACCGACATCATAGCTATCAGTGTCGTGCCACATGATGCGAGGCTTTGAAACATTACAAACAGTAGCAAATGAGACGACGCCGGCTGTTCGGGAAAGATCCTCATTAAATTTGCCCCGTTATATTTCGGCGATAGCCTGTTACCTACAATGGTTACATTTTGCATCCAAACTTCCAAGCAGCTGCTGAGCCACTTGGTAGTACTTAATGGCCAGTTCACAAAGTAATAAAATGAAGCAATGCGGGCGACCCGTTTGAAATACAAATATAAATTATACTAGATCATTAAATCTCATTTAGAGTTGATTGTCACGTGACCTGGTTTTTAGACGTTCTCGTTAACATGAGATCGATAGCGCACTGTGGCAGTGTGAGCGGCCGTATGCATAACATTGTTCACGGGTGTAAATTGCCGTGACTGTTTGCTGCTTTGTTCTGCTGCATTAATCTATCAACAACTTCGGCGTCACTGAAAGGTTATATTCAACCATAATGTGCTACTTTATACATGACTTGCTTCAACACCACAAGTCAGGAATTCTGGAAGAAAGTATTCCATACATGTTCACTTCAAAACCACAATTCAGGAAAACTGGACGAATGCATTAATTTCCATAAATGACTCGCTTCAAAACAACAGGTCTGGAATACTGGAAGACAGTATTCCATAAATGACTCGCTTCAACACCAAAAGTCAGGAATACTGGACGTACGTATTCCATACATGCCTTGCATCAACACCACTGTCAGTTTAGACCGTGACACAATACCGTCAGTTCATACTGGCAGTGTGTCAGTGTATACCACAGTGCAATACTGTCAGTCTATACGGTCTAGAGCACGATGGGATACTATCAGTCTTGATCATGGTCCAATATTGTCGCTCTCGACTACGTTCCAATACTGTCAGTCTATACGGTCTAGAGGACCATGGTCCAATATTATCGCTCTCGACTACGTTCCAATACTGTCAGTCTATACGGTCTTCAGCACGATGGAATACAATCAGTCTTGACCATGGTCCAATATTGTCGCTCTCGACTCCCTTCCAATACTGTCAGTCAGCTATAAAGTCATTTTAAACCACACACCCATCATGTCACTTAGACCAATGTTGATTAATTACCAGGTGGACCACTTCACCATAAGACCCCTAAAGCTTGTACAGGTTCGCTTACCAATATCTTCAGTGACTCGTCAGGAAGTCTGGTCATTCTGAGCTCGAGACAATGATATGGCCATGTCTATTAACCTATTGCAGGTCACGCGTTTTCCTGATCTACACAAATGAATGATTGGATGCGAGTTTCTCGACTGCCATGGACGTTTTGGACCTCTTAATAGCACTGCCTGGTCATTTGTGCCCCCGTGTTGTTTTATTGGCAGTCTGTGTTTGTCTTTTTGATAGAAGCAGCGGCTTGGTAAATGTTATTAGTGTATGCAAAGATTTACAGTGTCGTGGGTCATGTTACCTTGGAGGGGAGAAATGATTTGATATTGATTCATTTAATGAGTTGTCAATTTCAAGACAGATTTTAGTTCCATAAAACTGCTATGAGTATTCGACTAGCGTTTAGATTCGCTTGACGACCATGCGATGCTATAAACGGAAGTAGTGCTCAACCGTGTAGTATTACATCGCTGACGATGGGGAAAGTCGTACAGATCACCACTGGAACTCGGGCTGCTCTCCCTGTCAGGGTGCAGACAATTTCATTACAGAGGGGACTGCGTCGTTGATCTGTTTGAGTGTAGATCACTGGTAGACATGTTAACAACATGGCTATGAGAATGCCCATCGTCGCATATTACGACACGAATGTTGAATACTTTCACAATATCCAGCTAAAGTCCTTTGTTCTCTTCACCGTGCAGCACAGACGTATACGTAGTTCATCCATCTGTAAACACACATTGTTCCATGTATCTAGCACCCCAGTGCTCCATGTATCTAGCACCCCAGTGTTCCATGTATCTAGCAACTCAGGGTTCCAACCATCTAGTAACCCAGTGTCCCATGTGTCTAGTAACCCAGTGTTCTATGTGTCTTGCACCCCAGTGTTCCATGTGTTTAGCAACCCAGTGTTCCCTGTATCTAGCAACCCAGTGTTCTATGTATCTAGCAACTCAGTGCTCCATGTATCTTGCAACCCAGTGTTCCACCCATCTAGCAACCCAGTGTTCCACCAATCTAGCAACCCAGTGTTCAACCCATCTAGCAACCCAGTGTTCCACCCATCTAGTAACCCAGTGTCCCATGTATCTAGCGACCCAGTGTTCTATGTATCTTGCACCACAGTGTTCCATGTGTCTAGCAACCCAGTGTTCCATGTATCTAGCAACCCAGTCTTCCAACCACCTAACCCAGTGTTCTATGTGTCTTGCACCCCAGTGTTCCATGTGTTTAGCAACCCAGTGTTCCCTGTATCAAGCAACCCAGTGTTCTATGTATCTAGCAACTCAGTGCTCCACCCATCTAGCAATCCGGTGTTCCACCCATCTAGCACCCCGTTCTTACACACATCTAGCAATCCGGTATTCCACCCATCTAGCACCCCAGTGTTCCACCCATCTAGCAACCCGGTGCTTCACCCATCTAGCACCCCATTCTTCCACACATCTAGCATCCCGATGTTCCACCCATCTAGCAACCCCGTGTTCCACAGATCTAGCTAGAGCTAATTTTACATCAATGATACAACCACACCGCGTTTCAACAATCTCACTGGCAGGAATACAATTGTCGTGTCAGCTTGTATTAAGGTGTCATTTGCTTCAGGTATATATTCAGTATCCTATTTGCGTGAATGAGGGGTGGCACACATTACAGGGAAGATAACCACCAGTCAGTGTCACGACTGGAGACGTCAACAGATTAACCAATAAACAAAACTGTATTGACGACACAACTTACAACACTGTTAAAGTGGAATATGTCTTGTAAAACGTACCTGCATGGGTATACCGTGAGCACCCGGGAAGTGTTGCATCACAGAGGGAATTGCTTCTTGAGTCATCCACCACGTGGCATGCAGGTGCATTTTCGAGAGGCATGTCGCACGAGTTGTATACCTTTCACATCAGGATGTGTCCGCGCACGTTTGTTTTTACACATGTTTTATTCTTGTTGAAGTGTGTCACAACCGAATTAGGACAGGTAGGCAAGAGCAGTCATGGGGTCCAAATACCATGTTATTCTGCATTCATTCATCCGACTGGTAAATTTGTTTGAAACTCGATTCCCTTTCAACGGTTTCAGTAGCACCATTCCTGCAGGTAATTGGGTTTCACTGTCCAGCCATTCAGGTCAATAGGTGATTTGGTGTGAACACTGCACTGCGTATGGTTTTGAGTTGAGCGGTGTTATCGCTCGTGGTCCGACACCAATACACACAGCACCTGGTAATTAGATATTATGAAACTATGTAGCATAGGTCTTACTGAACATGAAAGGTTAATACATGTTATCATCCCTCATGTCAGAATGTCCATCTCTGATTGGTTCACGTCACCTTGAACAAATTACCCTGTATGCTCGGTGCACTGGCGTACATCGGGTATAAATCTTTGAGAGGGAGAATAAATCATTTATACCCCGTCCCATGGAAAAACATTCATCCACGGCATTCAGTGAACCGTGAACCAGTGGTTCGGATCGACTTATCAGTACCATGTTAGTAAAATATATGATTGAATTTCTGTTTGTTTTAATGTTATATTTACATAATGAGAGATTTAAACATTCGGTAAGATAAATTGGTTGCAGCATTATGATTCGGAGTATTTGGGGTTTTATATGTCCCTAACAGCGGACCCATAAAACCCTAGCTCGGTGGATAAAACCTAACAAGGAACGCATAAAACCCCGTATACCCCTCATCACAATGCTTATATTGTAGATTAAGACTCACATGTAGATTCCCTTATCTTTAAATGTTCACAGCTATTTATGACAGTGACATTTTCTGTATGTCTGTTTGACTTTTCTTGGCCAAATAAGACGGCACCGGAGCGTGTTATATGTTTGCTGAACATTACTATCTGACTGACTGAGTTTTGGTTTTACGCCGCTTTTAGCAATATTCCAGCAACATCACGGCGGGGGGACACCAGAAATGGGCTTCACACATTGTACCCATGTGGGGATTCGAACTTGGGTCCTCGGCGTGACGAGCCAACGCTATAACCACTAGGCTACCCCACCGCCCCGAACATTACTATCAGTAGATTAGTGTTATCTCTGCCGAGTAGTACATGAGTGTGGAGTGTTACTGGTCGGAAATTACATTATATATTTAAAACTATTCGTATAAGTATAAAATATTTAAAACACACAATGACCTTTTGTTCGGTGGGGAGACATGTATACATTAATATACCCTTAAGAAAGTAGGGAAAATCCAGTTTGGGGTGGTATTATTTTGGATACAAGTTGTATGATTGTATATCGATTAGAGAACGATTAACGTCCTTGACATGCGCGATAGACTGTGGCGTGGATGGAATGAGCGTTTTCATGCCGTTAACGTGGAGAGAACGCTGGTCTTGTCTCCGAAGCGGTGTGGGGTGGAATTAATGTGACAGGCAGAACACCTTTACTTGTCATTCAAGGACGTGTCACCAGACAGTTCTACCGAGACAATATTCTGGAGGCACGCATGGTGCCATTGCGCGCGTCCCTTTTGTGTTTCAGGATGACAACGTAAGGGCACACAGGGCTCGTATTGTTGCTCAGTACTTCCAACAGGAGAACATGTCCAACTTACCATGACCAGCACTTAGTCCAAGCTTGTCACCCATCAAACATGTCTGGGGTATCCTTGGACGGCATACATGTCACTGTCTACACCCCAACCACTCCCTTCGAACTTGGCGCTGCCCTTCAGGAAGAATGGGATCGAAATAACCTCGTTGACATTGGACGTTTGACCAGGAGTATATCTCGTCGAATACGCGATTGTCCCGAGAATACCTGCGGATTCTCGCAATATTAATGAGTTTGATTATTCATAGTAAATGACGTGATGGACACTAGGACTCTCTGGCTAATCATTTTACAAATTCTACGGTCATCCGACAGTCAACAATGCAAGTTGTGATTCATAAAACGCGTCGTATATTCATGGTCGTTCAACTTCGAAATGCCTTTCAAGAACTTTACTGAGTCTCCCCATTAAGGTTGTGTAGGTCATAAATCGATGAACTGAATCCCATTTTTCCGTTTTCAATTGCAGGTGATTTGGCGACGAGGCTCGGAATCCAACCCGCTGACGATTGGTAAGCGGACATTTGTGGACGACAAGCGGGTCATGATAGAGCACACACCGCTTCATCAGAACTGGAATCTGTTGATAAAACGTGTGCGTGTTGATGATGAGGGCATGTATGAGTGCCAGGTGAGCTCCCAGGCCCGCCATCTCCGTCATCATGTCTACCTCACAGTGGAAGGTCAGTCAGCTACAGCGACGTCTCTATCTCTACGTTAACCGTCCCGTCTACATCAGGCAATCTGGTTCATCAGGGACATGCCATTTCTGTAACCATCAAAACATTTACACTTAATTCCACTTATTTGCCTCATACGATGATAAATTCCAAAGACAAAGGCGTTTATAACTTAAATATAATGTGGAAACATGTATGCTCTACTTTATCGCCGTGCCTTGTACAATTGTAAATAATATCAATCAGATGTAAATAAAACTAGGGACCACTTTCCTTAAGCATCAGATGGCCGTTACTAAGATAATTTCATTGGTAGTTAACATTTTCAGTGTCTATTATCGAGGACTACTGCTTACGTAAACCAATAACATGAACACTTTCATAGATTTCGACATAAAGTTTACCTCGGAACATTATCTTTCAGTGTCGGAGAACCCACACAGCGGAAATCCTGGTAAGACAGCATTTAACAGTGTACTGTATTGCCAATATTTCGTATTTTAGTTATACTAATAAGCATTTATCTAAACACTGTTTTAATACCAGTGGAATAGCCTCAGAAAGGTATACATGGGAGTTAATAAGATATATACTAATGACAAAAACTAAAGGTACGTACGCTTATGTCGGGATCGTGTCTTTGGCCATATCTGCCTGCGCTTGTTTTAAACTGTAGTGAACACAATGCCACTAAGTTGTCACCTAGGGATTTATGTTAAACAAGCAATATTGTAACACTGCAGTAACAAATAGTAGGCCAATACATTGAGAGTTCTCTTTGGTTCCATCAGTATGTAATCAGAGATATTGAGAATAACGACAGGAGACTATGGGAGACAGGACACGCGTCCTCCAATGAAAGCTATCGCATAAGTTATGGATTCATGTGTCAAGAATCAAGAATGTTGTTTAGCAAGATGACCACCAGTAATTTGACGCTGATTTCAGATGAAGCAAGAAAACACCGAAACACAAGTGGTGTTATTTACGGTAACTCTCTCCCATGTTAAACAGTAGTGGAGTATCTCTGGCTATGTTACTGAGTAGCTCCCATCGCATGGATCCCCACAGTGGTATTATCTAATGCATGCCATTACGCATGGCCTCTAGAGGGCATGGTCTCCGTCTCTGTGTTTCTCTGTGTTGTCACATTCGTACATGCGTGATCCGTGTTGGATCATCTGCTTGTATACGACGTAGAACGTTATAGAAACTACTGTACCAATCACATTCTTACCAGCAAATATGAATTCTGAAAGAGAATAGTTCATTTAATCGTTTTCCTAAAAGACCGCATAACGTTCCTCCTCTGCTCTCAGCCGCTATGTTACTGTCACCTTGAATGTATATGGTTTCACGGTACGTGACCAGTCACTACGACTCACGTACTCTCAAGTGTTAACTTGGAGGATATATGGCAGTTAGATCAACTCTTTTACAGTTGTACCAAACACGAATGTGCTCACGTTCCTCCACTCGTTCTTCCCCACCATGACTCTATAGCACTGGCAACCTTGGTTCTTTTCTCTTCAGTGACTCCCGTATATCTTCTGTCCCACGTGGTGTCCAGTAGTATTTGCATGGCTAGTACTATATACTGAACCTTTCCTCCATCGATTACCATCTCTGCATGAATACGCATACCCTTTCCGTTGATAGCGTGTTCGTGAGACGAAGTAATCCTCTTTAGCGTAGCGACGTTAGCGACCCAGATCTAGGGCTATATGTCCTGTAGTATCAGTCTCTGTCCTGTAGTATCAGTCTCTATCATGTAGTATCAGTCTCTGTCATGTAGTATCAGTGTCTGTCCTGTAGTATCAGTGTCTGTCATGTAGTATCAGTGTCTGTCATGTTGTATCCCTTCATACTGTTGTTGTGTACAGTGTTACACGAGCTAAGTTCTGTCAGATATACACTGTACCTTTACATCAGCCTGGCTTTCAAATGCATTACTTGCGAACCTCTGTGGTGATCAGGAAACCAACGAGCATCAGGTACCTTCATAAGAAGCATGGTTGCGGTCGCTTGGCTGAACGAGGTCCAAGGAGACTGACCATTATATACTTAGGCCATGACACTTATTGCATTCATAAACGGTTGTCTTTGGTATTCTGCATATTCATGATACCGGGTTTTTCAGACATCCGCATCAGCGGGGACAAGTACGTGGAGAAAGGCCAGAAGATAAACCTCACATGCAACGCCACAGGCGAAGAGCATCCCCCCGATGACCTGGACTGGTTCAAAAACGGGGATAAACTTTCCACAAATTATGGAAACGGAATATTTATTCAAAAACGCGTTTCCTTGACAACAAAGACAATTGTGAGCATTCTTGAGATCAAGAACGCCGACATGAATGATGCCGGTGTCTACATATGCCGAACCTCTGGGCTACAGATCACGAGTTTAAGGGTCAATGTCTTGAATGGTAATATACCTATTGTCGTGTACTTGGCGGGCATTTGAAAGTAATACGTGTATCTTAAGGTCAATGACAAAGGATAGCCAGTCTACATTTTCTTCCATAACATATTCTACTGTCAGTAAACAAGGCAACACAAAGGTGAAAACGCACCTTAGATTTATTTCTAAACATACGCCATAACAACGCACACAACTTCCTAGATGAAAATAATGCAAGTTTGAATTTCAAATGGTGGATAATATTAAATGTCAAGTGTGCCATTTACTTTACTCTTTATTAAATGCACTTTTCAATTCCAAGCCCCCTGTTATGTGGTGTTTTGTTACTTGATCATTATATATATTTCACTAAGCAGTGTTGCTTTTTTCTTCTTTCAGCGTATACAAACAACGTCAAAAGACGTGAGTATTGACGTTAAAAGCTCTTTAGCAATGAAAGTTTTAATTTTCAATGTGGTTCTTTGCATCACCTTGTAAATGCCATGTAAGGATGGGAATGTGAGTATTGTGACTGACTTACAGAAGAATGTCGTCATTAATTACTTAACTTTGCGTGCTGCTATTACAACCTGAAGATAGCCCCACTAGTGATGGCTGTTAAACCATATGGTACACCTATCGTTGCCTTCAATCTATTGTGTTGATTGATTCAACTACTGTCATTTCCGTTGCAGACAAATCAGATAAATACAATTGGATTGGATCTACGGGAGATTCGACAGCTCCGGTTATGTGTGGTGATTTGATTACTCTGGTCTACTTGCTAACGCTGTGGACGACAGTAACGTGATACCGACAATAAGCTGCACTAGAGACGTCGTTGGTGGAACTTGTGCCGAAGATGGTTTCACAGTCTTGTGAAACTTGCGCTACAAAACAACTGGATGTATAATACAGTGATATACTCCGTGAAAACTGTTCACACGCTCGATAGTTTCTCTCGTCATCAGCAGTGCCTGAAGTGACCGGTCTGTGACGTCATGGAAGATTAACACGCCATGTTCATGAGACGTTGACTGCCAGGACATGAGACGTGGTTGGCTGTCGTCGTCGTTGTGAATATGTAGAACTTCCAATATTGAACATGAAACATGAACACTGTGCCTTCCTGTTTATCACTGTACAGTTATTGATCAAAACGTGTCCCGCATCAGATCAGTGTGCCGCCATCAGATCAGTGTGTCCTGCATCAGATCAGTGTGCCGCCATCTCTATATTACAAGACATGCGACTGACATGAAGCCAATATTTGAAATACAACAGAGAGGTTTTTGTCAGTGTACACATATTTACGTTTGCCATCTACCAGACAAATTTTGTGATGGTTTCGACATGAAACTTGGCATTATCTTAGACAGAAGGATTGCAGCCCGACGCTGATTGTCAACCAGGACGTCAAGAACAAGCGTTCAAATTATATTATATTCGGCCATCTGTTGAGAACTTATGTTTGCCGTCGAAATGTCATGACTTCGACTTATGACCGAGACGGCAATATTTCAGACAGTGGAAGTCTCAGTGTTTTCGTGGTGGTCCTCACGCACCAAGACTTAAATGTTAGACATGATGACTGTACACAGTCGTGGTGTAGCTAAGCTACAAAACATGTCCATATCAAACACATGGAGGTCACCTCGCAGACTCCTTCATGGAGTACCCGATGTATTTATAGCATATAGAGCTTCCAATAGCTAAATCACGACCTCTAGTCTAGTCATAAACAGTGCCGCTGCGAAGGTGAATAACCAAATCAGAAATATAGAAATCTGACACGCACACATCACCCCGTAAAGCCGCTGTTACGCTGCATCACAATCTGTCATTATGGGGTCAAGGTCAAACACAAATTTGAAATATACTGTAGACAGACAAATTACGTTTCTCTTTCCTATTTCTGCCCATATGCTGACTAACACGTGAGACATATCAATCCTATTTTTTGTTATTTACAAAGCATGTCAAGGGGCCTACAAAAACGTTTGTTAGGATAGTTCCAGAAACAGTTGCTTACAACAGAAACAAACACAGACATTTCGAGATAACAGATGTCGAATATTCTTACACTGTGACAACAACGTTGCTGTCGACGCCATTTGGAGTTTTTCTGCCAAAGACAAAGTGCATATTTGTGTATATAGACCTACTAGTGGTTGAACTGTCATATACCTTGTGTCTGTCTTTGAGTCATTACATTTCCTTTCATTTTTCATTTTTTGTATTTTTGTCATGACGCCGATAAAATACCACAGTATTACAACGTAGACAAATCTGTGTATATCAAACTACGGACTTGTCTGTGTGACCTATGGTCAGTAATCATAATGACAATGGGCACAGTGAGGCTTACAAAAGGTACAGTCGACTTTATCAATTTTCTGACCAGTGGTATATCCGGTGCTGTCGGTGCATCAGTTGTCGAGGATGTATTATATATCGTGATATTTATTATTGATGCGTCTCTTGAAAAAATTCAAACATGACCATCCAGATATGAACAACACTTCCCGACGGTGTCCCATTTCCTTATATCTTACAATCGGCCGCCAATAACAGACTGATGTGGTGTGTGATGTGGCTGCGAGAGCTGACGGTGTTGCAGATGCAGAAAACAGCAATGAAACAATGGCGCGTTCGCTGTCAGAAAAAAATGTTGAAATGTCACAGGTATCGGCTTTGGTATATGACATTAATGCTACATTATGCTACATACTGTATTCGTTGGATGGTTCGTATGTTCCGATACAGTTATAGCCACTGACATTGACAACTTAATAATACTGTGCTTGAATCCTGTTTCTCTTTTGTTAGAATATTCCCCTTAAATCTAGGATTTCACATTAAATGTATGATTCGCTCAAGGTGATCGAATGGTTTTCTTTTATATCATAAATATCTCGAATAATGTGTCGTTAAAGTTTTAAAAGTCAAACAATGCCTTTGTTTATTACTTGCCTGTGAGCGTGATTCTGGAATCTCGTCACATTTGAGTACTGGATGTAGATGGACTCTAACAATACTCTAACTTGTAAACATGCAGCTGAAACAGTAGTCCACTCAATGCTCAAGAAGTATGCATTGTGGCATTCACCCTCTCTGTTGTCACAGATGCTGCTGATAGAAACAAAATATCCTCATCAAAACTTGAGTCGTCATAAACTGAAAATAAAACATGAAATGGACAGATGTTGTTTTGTATGTCATTGTTGTTTCTGTTTTTATCCAGCGTGTGTGTGTTAATGCCTTCATGCGAGGCAGCAACGTGCCTCTGTTTATTCAGCTGTATGTCTCTGCATATATACAATCTACAGCGCAGTGTACACGTCACACGCCGATCTGGAAGTGCCACATTGTCACTGAAGTAGTTAACCACGGTCACATGACGTTGACAATGTTGAGGCTTGATAATGCTAAGCCCCTTGCCGTAATCGGTTAATATTACATACAATGGAATTATTCAGGAACTCTTTATATTGTGCATCTGATGACAATGTTGATGAATGTCCATCCCGGGCATCTGTGGTGACCTTTGGTCAGCAGTAGTTCCGGTCTGGATATATAAACGTCAGTTGTCTTATTTGAATAAAGAACTGCAAGTTATACAAATCATAGTCTCGTGGTGCAGACGCAATGCCATTTACATTCTGAACTAACTAACCTCCTGACGATCTTTGCAAAACCGATACCTATAGTACCCTCCTGTGCCTAATGCTGTTATAGTTTTTAATGTATATTTACTCGGTTGCATACCCATGAGAGCAACTTTGCTATTGAATACAGTCACTTCTTGAAAATCTATCATTACTCAAGCCATTACCGCCATGCCACACGCGACGTCCGGTAAGGTACACTTCTACAGCAGCACGCTCGAGCATTTGCATGGGAAGCAAGCTTATTTGATGACAATTGGATCGGAATTAAGCAGTATGTGTTCAGCACATGCTTTCGATGTCTGTAAAACTAATTCACCCGCCGGGAATATGTGATCTTGATGCATAGACTAAGAGATGTCTACAGACACAAGATACGTGGCCCGTTTCTAAAGGGGTTCTGCAAGGTCGAGGTGTGCGTCTTCAATCATTTGTTACAACTGTCACCGAGTCGCAACCGAGGCTGTGAGAATAGTAATGATACATGTCTGCAGTGTATTGCCTAAATACATCCAATGAGGCCTGTAGCTTTAAATTGGAATAGAACAGTGTATATGGATAATGAAAATAGGATCATACATAATGGTGTTTTGCAGAATAGGGTGATAGTCAGCTAGGTACCTTCGTTCCTGGAAGGAACAATGTTTATGATGCGTGAATTGTGTCGGTGTGGTTTACAAACGGCACTAGTTAACATATGTCTATACAGTAGACAACACCAATATAAACCAGGGTACTTCACTGGCTGTCCATGAATTTTTGAACTTAGTTTAAGACTCTTACACTGATTTTCAAGGCCGAGCATGGACTGACACACGCACCTGTTACCTTAATAAAGATCATCTCGATCTTTTCGATCCAGTAGCCAACATGTTTTTGTCACGCAACTGCGACTACATATCGAAGTGGATAAGTGACGTCGATGAAGCCAACGGTCACTATCCGTGGTCTGGGGTTCTTGATGCCCACTGTCTGTCCGAGCCATGTCCTTCTTCCTTGTCGGTTTCCCTCCCAGTAGTACATGTAAGTGTTGGGTTGCGAATACCTAGCTTTACCATTCATTTCTTCTCTGGCCAACTCCAGTTTTCATGCATTGATGTATTTACAAAATGTTCAAAACTGCTTTAAACCTAAACTAACCGCTTGTATGGGGATTCCTATGTCATCATTCCATGCATGGAGTTGGAAGCCATTATTCACCGTATGCAACGTTAAGCAGACTCAGCTGTGACAACCCTGTCACCCTCTCATCCATTTCGCCCTACACTCCAGGTGGTTGCGGAGAAACTTTAATGTTGGGTATCAGTATGTAAACATTTGTTTCACACATAATGTGTGATGTTGATACTCCCCAGAACACACGGTTAACCGTGTCAGCCACTTGGCAGGGATCATGAAATATGCCTGACGTTGATGCCGATGAATACCAAGTGGTCATTACAAGGAGTGCTCAAAGGTTTTTCGGCCATTATGATACAACTGGAATTGCAGGATCTGTACAGAGAACTGTTGTTTCTGTGAATTATTCAACATAAAAGTGGTGGCAATTCCTGAATGTATTGCACACATGTCTCATCGCAACATGCGGGGATCGCAGTGTTTGCTAAATGTGATTGACATGTGTCGTAGAGTTGGCGAAATACCCGCCCCAAGGTAATGTGCCACCATGGTTACTGATGTCGACCTCAAATCAGTTTCATTATGTTCTGGCTTAGGTAACTGCAGTTCGGCGATAGCATTTAGAACACAAACAGAATTTGGAAGAAGTAAATCATATGTTTCATTACGATGGTATCATTTTACCAAATTGGTATTACCCTTTGGAAGAATAGTTTATATCACCAAGACATTACAAACACAACCTAGATGGAGCCCTGGTAGGTGAGGTGAGGTGAAATTGGGTTTTACGTCGTGCTTGAGAATATTTCGCTCATATGACGACGTGCATGCATGTGTATGTGTATGTGCGGCTGCTTGTACTAGCCCAGACTTAAGCTGGTTTTATAGTGCTAGCCCACTGAGGTACCATGCCGCAGTGAAGCATGAATACCCCACTCAGACACATTATACTGACTCCGAGCCGACCAGTCCTTGTTGTACCCATTAATGCCGAGCGCCAGCCAGGGACCAACAAGTACCATATTTTAACGTCTTTTTGGTATGACGCGGTCGGGGATCGAACCCGCGACCTTCCGCTCTCCGGGCGGACGCTCTAACCACTACACCACGGAGGCGGTCCCCTGGTAGGTGCAGCGAGGGTGTAGGTGAGGAGTTGTGGACACGGAAACAATACAATATTGTACTTGTAACATGTATGTTTGTGTATACAAATGACATTGCTCGAACATAGACACACAAGGATTCTGACGTGTGTGTGATCACAAACCGACAGACTGACTAAGTATGGTTTTACGTCGTTTTTAGCAATATTCCAGCAATATCACGGAGGGGGACACCAGAAATGGGCTTCACAAATTTTACCCAGGTGGGGAATCTAACCCGGGCTCTATGTACAGGGATAGAAAGATATATACAAAAGGATATATACAATACAATGAATACATGAATTATTTAGATTATAAACATTATATCCAATTACTGAACCTTTTGTAGTTTGATATATATTTTTTGAAAAATTGAATATTGTCACTGTACGGAAGATCTGCACTGCCATTTAATAATAAATCTAGGTTTATTAGTGCTCTAATGTTACAAATTCTGCTAATATTTTGAATCATTTCCTGTCTGATATTAGAATACAAAGAACATTCCATAAAATAATGATGACAATTTTCACAGGTAAATTTACAATTACATTCGGGGTTCTCTATAAGACCAATCCTATATAGATCACCGTTACATCTACTATTTGTATAATATCTTAGCTGGGTATGGATTACATCGAGTTTTCTATTACCAAATGAGAAATATCCTGGTGCTTTTCGATTTAAAACTGTTAAGGGAAACTGAGTCTTTAACATATAAAGGGATATTATTCTAAAGTTGTAAAGATGATGGAGAAAATGATTATAGAGATTTGTGCGGGAATAGGACAGGGAAAGATCACGAATGTTTCTAAGATTATAATTTGTCCTAGATTCAACAGTTTGAGGCATAAGATCACAAAGGTAGGATGGAGCATGTTTGTTGTAGATGTTATAGAATAAAGACAGTTACGACATCTTCTTCTTTCTATTGACAATTGCCAACCTGTTTCATACATTAGAGTATCTCTAGTAGCATTTTTTGGTAAACCGGTAACTATCCTGGCTGCTTCAAGCTGAACTTTTTCAATTTTATCGGTTAAATCTTCCGAACAGCCATCCCACAATTCACAAGCATATTCAAGATGTGGTCTTATAAATACAATATAAATCTTATTTAGAGTGTCTCTGTTTAACATGAACTTTAATTTTCTCATTGATGAAACTGTCAAGGACGTTGTTCTTACAATGTTATCAATATGGGTGTTCCATTTACAATCAGAAGAAGAAGTTACTCAAAGATGTTTAAGAGATTTTTCCAAACGTACACACTCTAAATTTAGAATTGTATTATTATTCTTAAGACTGAAAAGAATTACGATTACAGCTTCTGTTTTGTTAGGATTGTATGTCACAAGCCAAAGTTTTGCCCAGCACGATAAATATTGTAGGTTCCTATTGAGTGTCTCTTGCATAAGCCTGTGATTGATAGATGAAAATGCCATTGATGTATCATCTGCGAACAAGCGTGCAGCACAATCTAGTTCATTGGCAATATCATTAACATATACTATAAACACATGTCTGTGGCAGCTGGTGTTGAGTGAAGTGGTTGATAGCGGATCATCCTACCCGGACGTCCTGGGTCGTTGCTCATTGTACCAATCACTCGCTTGTCTAATTCAGAATCTATAAGATCACTGTCATATTGGTGGGGTATTGTTAAGTACGGCGTTACAGAAAAATACCCCCGCACACTTACAGGTACATTAGCCGTGCGTGCCGTTCAACAATATCATATTCACGGTTGGTAGTGTACGCAGATGCTAACGAAACATTGTCTCCGTTTAGTCGCATAACACTGCCGAAAGTAATGAATATAACCTTCTTATCTTTAATTTAGATTTAAAGCAGGACAAGGCATGTTAGCCTTGACGATTATGTTTGTTTCTGTAAAAGCAAATGAACTAAATACCCTACATACGTAGCAGAAATATTTTATTAAAATCGAATCAAAAGAAGTGATGATATAACCTCGTTACGGATAATCCGTTGGGTTTACAGGTGATGAGCGAGAGTACGTTTAGTTACCGTCGTCGTCTTCAGACGAATCACACAGTGCATCCTCCCTACACAGTGCATCCTCCCCACACAGTGCATCTTCCCCACACAGTGCATCCTCCCTACAATACAGGTCAAGAGACCATGCACTGGTTACAATTTCAACAAAACAGAACAGAATTCATGATCGCCCTGCCGATATCCAACATCATCTAGTACAGTGATTACAACATAGAAGTCTCGAAAAGTGGTTAACATATGCAGTGTTA